ATTTTTCCATGTCACTGTAACGGCCTGAAGTGAATGACCGAAAACAGCTGTGCTATTTAAATATGGGGTTGGAATATGACTGGTTGATCACAGCAGAAAGCCAGGAATGGCCGCTAGAGACCCCATTACTATGTAGGTAACCTGGATAAGCCGTGGTAAATAACCTACAGTCGCCTGGTTAATTGAAATAAAACTTAACAGATGTCTACTGCATTTAATCGCTAGTCCTCAAAACTATTGTCATATAGTGCTGTCCAGAGACTACTGGTAGCCATTTACTCTTAACCCCGAATGTCCTTCCTACAGAATCGCCGCTGCTGTTGAGGATATCTGGGAATTGGAGGAAGACGACCTGGGACTACTTGAGAGCATTCTGAGCCACGCCAATCTTTTAGAATTCCTCTCATATAGCGCATGCAGCGAAGCTAAGTTAGATGCTCGAATTGTCAAGTGTCTCACAAAGTCAGGTAATTTTCCGGATTCTTTCCTTTTAATCGCATGCTGCTCTCTAAATGCTGGTCTAGAAGGCGGTTTCGTGATCATAAACCACTGCGCTTTGGTCGTATGCTTTGAGATTAAACCTCTGGTGCTGACGTAATGTCGGGGCAACATTGGCTTACGGCGGTCAATAATCATCTGCTGTTTTCTTCAACACTACTTTTCAATTAAAAGTAGTTAGATTATCACACATAACTGCCGGGCTGTAGACCTGCAACTCCTAATGTTCACTCAGAACAGTTTCTCTAGTTACATTCCATGTGATCGCGGCCTCCAGTAAGATCTTGGCCAAATCTTAAGTGAGGAAACGCTTGACTCTTAAATGCCTTTTTGAAGTGCTTGAACAGATAAAATAGTTATGTACTTCCAATCTGTGTTGAGAACAACTGCAGTAGAGCAATAACATTTTGAACCTTCATCTGTGGTATCTGTAAAACATACTACTGTTCAGGGCATTTTCAATCATTCTTGATCCTAAAAAGCAGCATACTGTTGGGCTCGTTGGCTCTGAGGTAAAGGTATTTTGTTTGTAATAAAACAACATTTAACAGAAAAAGGGCTCAAAACACATTTGACTGAACCTCCGACACCGTTCTCCTTGATCCTCACCAAGTAAATAATAATCTGTCAATTACACCGACCGATAATTTGCTCAAAGTATAGCAGTTTGCCGGTCGTAGGCTCTAATCTTCCGCCTTCCTTTCGTCGACTGTTCGAAATAAGCAGATTTTGGTGGGTGTCGTCATAGTAAATGTGTACCCAAAGGCCCATGGCTTCAAACGAAGTACGCCAGTCGTCTAAATAAGGTATTTCTTTCTCAGGACGAAAAACTGACATGATGCTTCGTTTGATGTAGCTAAAAGTTAAAATTGAGCATGTACTGGCAACCCCTTATTGGGTTGGGTTTCCCTACGCATATTTAGACGAATAAGGGAGAAGTATTGTCGAGCACCGGATCAATTTGTTTATCATCCTAAGCTTTCGAGCCCTTACAAGAGTCCATTGTCAGAGATAAGGAACTGCAACAAAAAATGAGTTTATTATAGTGTGTGTTCGCCCGCAAACTGTTGAGGATTTTCAGCTTGTGAGGGGTTGGGGGCAATTCATTAACCGTCAGTTATATCAACGTTCATCAGGGCGTCAGCAACGAAAGTGGGGATATTATAGATGATACGTGTCCAGTAAACTGCGACGAACGTCTGGGCGTGACTGTATTTGATTTTGCAAGTTTCTGTACGCCCAGACAAATTCGACACATCGGTTTATTGAATTCCCGTTGCGGACCAGTCTTTAACCAATTCACTGCTCCTTTTGTTTCCGGCATGGGAGAGTACCTTAATGGTCGCGAATTTGAACTCCTGTCCTGCTTCATAGGTGTCGCTTCGGACGGCCAACTTGTGTTCATGCACGCGCGATCCGAGCATGACTTCAGTTTGGTTTTTGTATATACAAGGACATCTTAGGCAGAAGATGCGATACGCTACCCCAAAAGCGACTAAGCGCATCACTGTGGGACTAGATTTTGGGGTTTTACACAGACCCAAAGCTATTATGCGCAGCAATTTAATGAAAATAAAAGAATGGCTTACTCCCACTGGACAAGCTGACGAAGTATATTGCATGCCCTGTCTAAGTTGTCCTTGTAACTACACAAGTAAAATTGAATGACGGTTGGTTAGATCCGGACAAGGGGAGGATGGAAGGGAGAGAAAGCACGGAAAGATCCAGGCAGTTATCTAACCGTTGGCCATGCCAGGCTCGGAACTTACAGGAGGCTCTTTTGCGCGCACAAAACCAGCTTCTTCGATCGGATCGGGGTTGCTTCTGCTGTTTCTAGCAAATGGCGACCGGAGAACTTGAATATTTTGGTGGGACTTTATAACTTACCTCGAAGGATTCTTTGGGGTCCACACAATGTTCAGAGTTAATCATGTGGTCAAGGATGGCGCTTTTGATGCTTCTGACTTCACCCTTGCTCAGCCATGCTAGGAGGTGATACCGTATACTTGTTGATCAGCGCCGACTCGTGCAACCGATAAAACCTGTTCCACAGGAGCAAGTAAATGAGTAGATGCACATAGAAGTGGTCTGAGCTGGCAGCCTATCCTTACCTTCGTCGTGCAGGACCGGTTTGGTTGAGAACAACACCCGAACTTTCGCTACTGGGAGAGTTTCGTGATACGGCTTATTAGGAAAAAACGGAAAATTTGACATTGTCGAGTACATGTTGTTTAATCTGAATTAATTTTCCTGCCTGAGAGTTTCTTTCGGAGTCAGAGGGCAAAATAGTGGTCTTTGGAATAAACAAGAGCCGTGTCGGTTGTGCATTTTTGAAAGCTGAGGATGCACCCAATAGATTTCTTGCTGTATTTGCTGATTTTTTATTGAGCCTTACTTAATCATACTGTAATTAAAAACATAGGTGGTTGAGCATAAATTACCCAGGGCATTTAAGTTTCGCCTAAAGCTGCTTCAATTTCTATGCAGAGCTATTTGAAGGCGTGGATGCGGCCGATATTTGGACATTTAGACTTCGCATGGCTCTCCAGCTGAACCGCACAGACTTTCTCAGAGAGAAAATGTTCGCTGGCGTGGACTGGAGTGTAAGTTATCCGTCCAGTTGACGCCTTTTGTCCAACGATGCTACCGTGGAGATTTTAACTTTAGAGTAATTATGTTGCCCCCCCGCCCTCTTTTTTGAAGATGGTGCCGGCAGATTTTGTGGAGATAAGCCTCTTGGAAGATAAACGGGAATTCCTCCAAATGCTTCTGGAGTCTGGTTTCCCGCTGCCTAAGTATATCAACCTGGATCTTATTCTGAGGCTGTATCAAGCAGACTACAGAAGCGATGTATGTTTTGCAAGCAAGTGTTTTTGCGTTTCTCTGACTTTTCCTCAAGTAGTGACAGGTCTATTCGGTTTTGTTACTTTATATTCGTAACTCAAGTAGAAAATTGAAATATTGTTTTGCCCACATCCAAGACGAATAGCTTCTACTCTCTTTACCTATTAATTTTCACTCCTCTAGGGTGACACTTAAATGGACAGTTAATTCATTCAATTAATAGACAACGACCATTTGCAGTTGAATAAGAGGTCGCAAAAATTATATGACATCAACTACTTCTGCTAATATTGTGATCTTTGCCTTGTAACTCCAGTCGTTTAAGTAATGTCCAATTAGTGAATCGGTTCGCTTTTAAGATTAAGTCAATAGCCACTGGAGTCGGCCGCTTAGGGACGGCCACTTAAGACAGACGCATGTGCTTGTACGTTCGACTGGTTACCAGTGGCGTATTCTGATATCCTGGCAACATGCAACGCCTTCTATAGTTCACCGTTGCTGTAATATAACTGGTAAAAATTCAAAACCCCTGGAGCTAATCATGCGTGAGGTAACCTTAATGCGTTCTGACTTATTCAAAAACGTACTATCAGTCTCGTGAAATATTAAGGAAATGGCAAAAAAGTTTGAAGTCGTGCACTTCATATACCCCTAGTCCCAGTATTTTGTCCTACAGAAACAGTGGTTATAAGGATTTCATGGGTGGGGAATTAGAATAGGCAGGGAAGGAAATTTTTAGAAGTGAATGTAAAATGAAAACAAATGTAGTCAAATTTGTGTCCCGCGGCCACTGGAAGTAAGTTGTTCCGCATGTTAATTGAAGGTGTATGCGGCGCTTGGCGCCGAGGACTATACTTATCTAACTCCAGAACAGTAAGTTGGACCTCAGTTAAGTTGAAGTAGACGACC